AGAGAGAGAGAGAGAGAGAGAGAGAGAGAGAGAGAGAGAGAGAGAGAAAAAATCATGAGCATCAGCTGGGCTGGCTGCCAATCCAAAATGGACGTCCCTTTTAATCGCTTTCTGTGTCTTCAAACGAACAAAAGAAAACACCTAGGTTCCTCACTTGAAGATCCAGAAAACGGCCCAACAAGGACACCCGTTCCGTCGCCCATATATGGAGAGAGAGAGAGAGGGAGAAGGGAAAAAAATCATGAGCATCAGCTGGGTTTGCTTACATGTTCATTGTTATTCCTGTTGTTTTTTTCTAACGGAAATGAACAAGAGAAGAAAAAAATAAGAACCAGAGGAAAGATGAAAACGAGCACCATCTTCTCTTTGCCTGACTTTTGCATTTCGCCTGTCCTCATTTCTCTTCCATTCTTTTCATTGCTCTTCCATTTAGAGTTGCATTCCTTTTGATCTCTCCTCTCCTTTCTCTCTCCCTTCTCTTCTCTTGTTCTCCTTTCAATCTCAAAAACACACAAAAGGAAGTTTCTTTTCCTTGTTGAATGAAGAATGAAAAAAGAAGAAAAGAGATAGGGAAAGAAATTGAAGAGCTCCACTGCCTATTGGTTCATTCCATTTCCTCTTTTTCTATGTGTTGTTTTCCTTGTCGTTTCAGAAAGCAAGCAAAATAAGGGCAAGGGGGCTTCCTGAAGAGGAGAGAGGGCACCTATCTGCGAAGAGGTCTTGTCCTTTTTAATAATAGGGGAAAAGAGAGAGACAAGGAAGGGAGAGATGATAGATAAAGAAGAGTGCCATCTTCTTTGCGCCTTGTTGTGTTCCTCCGTCTCCTTGTTCCTTGTCTCCTCTCTTCTGTTCAGTACCCTTCCAGAAAATTAAAATGGCCTCCTTGTTGTCTCTCCTCTCTCACTTCCCTTTCCCTTCTCTCCTTCTGTTTCCGTTTAACTGATAAAACACAAGACAGGAACTTGTATAATAAAGCAGTGGAAGGTAAAGCAGAGGGTGACTCCTTGCGCTTGGACCTTGCCGTACTTCATCATGTCCCTCTTCTCGGCCTACTTCTGCTCTTTTCCTTACTCTTCTCCTTTTCATAAATTCTTCCTCTTTAGTTGTTCTTATTTCGAAAAGAAAGAGGGAAGGGAGAGATAAGGGAGATAGGATAGATAAAGAAGAGTGCCATCTTCTCTGCGCCTTGTTTTGTCTCTCCCTCTTCTCTATTCATCTCTCTTCTATTCTTTTCTTTGCTGTTCTATTGAAATTGGATTCCCTGTATCTCTCCTCTGTCCTTCTCTCTCGCTCCTCTTCTCCTGTTCCCCTCTAAACGATTGCTCTTTACAGATAGGTGCCCTCCCTCCTCTTCAGGAAATCTCTTTTTCGCTTATTTTGCTTTTTGAAGCGAATAAAACAACGGATAAGAGAGGAAAGGGAATGACTAAGTAAAGACAGGAGCTCTTCAATAGGTGCCCTCCCTCCTCTTCAGGAAATCTCTTTTCCCTTATTTTGCTTTTTGAATCGAAGAAAACGACAGATAAGAAGAGAGGAAAGGGAATGACTAAGTAAAGAGAGGAGCTCTTCAATTTCCCTCCCTATATCTGATGTTACTTTTCCTTCTTGGGTGGTGCCCTTCTTTCTCCCTTGAAGATGCAGAAAGCGATCAGGAACACCCGTTCCATCTCCCATATATAGACAGAGATAAATCATGAGCATCAGCTGGGTTTGCTGCCGATCCAAAATGGGCGTCCCTTTTAATCGCTTTCTGTGTCTTGAAACGAGCAAAAGGGGCACCCTTACTAAGTGTTTTCTTGTGGTGTCCCTTTTCTTCGCTTGAAGACGCAGAAAACGATCCAAGAAGGACACCCGTTCCATCGCCCATATATAGACAGAGATAAATCATGAGCATCGGCTGGGTTTGCTGCCGATCCAAAATGGGCGTCCCTTTTAATCGCTTTCTGTTTCTTGAAACGAGCAAAAGGGACACCCTAAGTGTTTTTTTGTGGTGTCCCTTTTCTTCGCTTGAAGATGCAGAAAACGATCCAAGAAGGACACCCGTTCCATCGCCCATATATGGGGAGAGAGAGAAATCATGAGCATCAGCTGGGTTTGCTGCCAATCCAAAATGGGCGTCCCTTTTGATCGCTTGCTGTGTCTTCAAACGAGCAAAAGGGACACCCTAAGTGCTTTCTTATGGGGTGTCCCTTTTCCTCGCTTGAAGATGCAGAAAACGATCAAAAAGGAAACCCATTCCATCGCCCATATATAGGGAGAGAGAGGTTGGCTGCCAATCCAAAATGGACGTCCCTTTTAATCGCTTTCTGTGTCTTCAAACGAACAAAAGAAAACACTTAGGTTCCTCACTTGAAGATGCAGGAAACGGCCCAACAAGGACACCCGTTCCATCGCCCATATATGGAGAGAGAGAGAGAGGGAAAAAGGAAAAAATCATGAGCATCAGCTGGGTTTGCTTACATGTTCATTGTTATTCCTTTTGTTTTTTCTAACGGAAATGAACAAGAGAAGAGAAAAATAAGAACCAGAGGAAAGATGAAAACGAGCACCATCTTCTCTTTGCCTGATTTTTGCATTTCGCCTGTCCTCATTTCTCTTCCATTCTTTTCATTGCTCTTCCATTTAGAGTTGCATTCCTTTTGATCTCTCCTCTTTCCTTTCTCTCTCTCTCCCTTCTCTTCCCTTGTTCTCCTTTAAATCTCGAAAACACACAAAAGGAAGCTTCTTTTCCTTGTTGAATGAAGAATGAAAAAAGAAGAAAAGAGATAGGGAAAGAAATTGAAGAGCTCCATTGCCTATTGGTTCATTCCATTTCCTCTCTTTCTATGTGTTGTTTTCCTTGTCGTTTCAGAAAGCAAGCAAAATAAGGGCAAGGGGGCTTCCTGAAGAAGAGAGAGGGCACCTATCTGCGACGAGGTCTTGTCCTTTTTAATAATAGAGGGAAAAGAGAGAGACAAGGAAGGGAGAGATGATAGATAAAGAAGAGCGCCATCTTCTTTGCGCCTTGTTGTGTTCCTCCGTCTCCTTGTTTCTTGTCTCCTCTCTTCTGTTCAGTACCCTTCCAGAAAATTAAAATGGCCTCCTTTTTGTCTCTCCTCTCTCACTTCCCGTTCCCTTCTCTCCTTCTGTTTCCGTTTAACTGATAAAACACAAGAAAAGAACTTGAATGATAAAGCCTAGGAAGGTAAAGGAGATAAGGGAGATAGGATAGATAAAGAAGAGTGCCATCTTCTCAGCGCCTCGTTTTGTCTCTCCCTCTTCTCTATTCATCTCTCTTCTATTCTTTTCTTTGCTATTCCACTGAAATTGGATTCCTGTTATCTCTCCCCTCTCCTTCTCTCTCCCTCCTCTTCTCCTGTTCCCCTCTAAATGACAAAAACACAAGAAAGGAAGAACAAGTGGGGAATGGAAGCCCTTTTCCTGTCTTCTCCTGTTGCAATAAAGAAGGAAAAGGGGGGTGGGGGGGGGGGGGTGGGGGGGGGGTGGGGGGGGGGTGGGGGGGGGGTGGGGGGTGGGGGGGGTGGGGGGGGGGGGGGGGTGGGGGGGGGTGGGGGGGGTGGGGGGCCCCCCTAAACAGGGAAGGGGGTTAGGTTGTGGGGGGGGGGTTGTGGGGGGGGTTGTGGGGGGGGGTTTGTGGGGGGGGGGGGTGGGGGGGGGGTGGGGGGGGGGTGGGGGGGGGGGGGGTGGGTGGGGGGTGTGTCACATACTCTGGGTTGGGTGAGGGGGAAGGAGATGGGATCCGTGTCTGCTTGTTCCAAACGCTTCTTGGCAGGAAGCCGAGGCGAAGTGTGAGTGTGCGTTGGGGGGGTTAGGTTTGGCTGTTGGGTTTTGGTTGTTGGTGGGTTGCTTGAAGTTAGAGTTTGTGCCCGAGACCCGCAAAGAGGCTTCGGATTCCGGCTCTGCGTCGAGAGGTGCGCAAAAACAAGAACACGTTCACTCAGAGCCGGAAAGTCGGAATGAGATGCAACGGCCTTAGGAGGAAGAGCTGGGCCACGGCAGCAGTGGCTGCAAGCATGGCACAGTGTGGGTCTAAGCTTGTCTTGTCAGTGCTGCCAGCATACTTTGAGTGATGCATGTCGGGGCACTGTAGTTTTTGGAGGCCGCGTTGAGACGGCCAATCCACACCTCGGCCCTGACACAGCCAAAGCAAAATCAGCTTTGAGAAATCTGAGAAATTAGAAACAATGAAGATATCCTGTGCTTCGGAGCCAGGCATCATCAAAACCCACGATGTCCCTGGCAGACTGCAGAGCCAAAGTGCTCTGTGGTGGGGGGGGGGGGGTTGATGGGGACGACGGCATGTTCCGAATGCTCCTTGCAGCACATTGACCCCCCAACACCTTGACAAACCCTTGTGAGAATATCTCAGCCTTTTGCAAACCTTGGGAAGCCAGCTGCGGCACACGCCCAGAAATCTGAGGCCAAAAAACTGGGTACGGCCCTCAGCTCGCATGTTGTTGGAAACACGCTTTTTAGGAGCAGGGTACCCATTCGGACTGCGACGGCACCTGTTTCAGGAGACCATAGCTTGGAGCTCAGGGTACCCTGGATGTCTTCTGCACAGAAGCCACCCGAGGGGGAAGAGCCAGCCAAAAGGAAAGTTGCCATGTGTCTTGTTTTCCTTTTGGGAGGGGCGAGCACTTTCAGCACCCCTAAACTATAGCGGCTGGAAGCGACAAGCCCTTGACCCCCCTTACCTTCGATGGTATTGTGGCCCGGGGGTGGGCGTGCGGTCTCTAATTGTTGGTTCTTGGGCCGGGTCACGTGCGTATTCTCACATGCTTATTCTCCAAACGGGCGTTTCTCACACATTAATTCCTAGACAGTGCTGTCGCATGCAGTTGCTGATGAGAACAGCCTTGGCCGTAGGAAATTGCACACAGAAGACGTTCGGCTTCGAACCCTGAACCCTGAAAGCGCTGACCCAACAGGCCCAACACGTCTGAGCAAAGTTTGGAGAGATTCGCGCGCAAGGTGATGTCACAACTGTGAACTTGACCATGCTCCGATGTGGTGTCAGCAACGACAATGGGAAGACCTTCTGCGTCTGGCCTGCACTTGTTCCGTCACAAAGCGGTTCTGAGCCCTCTCTGTTGAGGCCTCAACGTGATCCCAACAGAGGCAGAGGCAGGCTTCGACGTGCGCATCACGCCTGACCTGAAGCCCAAGGCGCCACTCAGGGAGAAAAAAGATATGAAAAGAGCAAGAGAGAGAGAGAGAGAGAGAGAGAGAGAGAGAGAGCGAGCGAGAAGGATAGAGATGTGAGATTGTGAGAGAGAGCGAGAGATCTTGGAATTTTCTTAGCAGCCGTGCGAGTTTGTGTCTGGCGTTGTGCCCTTGTTTGTGTGGCTCACGGGGAGAAGTCGGAGAACGTTCAGTCGATCTTTCGTCGCAGGCTTTAATGAGCCAAGGCACTTTCAAGCTTCGGTCATGAGACGGAGAAGCTACATTTTTGCAGTTTTGCTGACATCAGCGTATGCTGTGCGTTGCCACAGAAGCGGTTGCAGACTTGACATCCGGAAGGACTTCCAGAACTTGCTCGACCAGTGGTGCAAAGAGGCGGATGGCACTTCGGCAGATTTGGAGGAAAAGAGTCCAGAGAGTCCCGACCAAGAGAGCTGGTATCTCAGGTGTCTCCCTTCTGGTTTGTACGGCGCGTCATAGCCTTCAACTTGAGGTCCCCCACTTTCTGCTGGTTTGACCGACACTGTCCCAGATCTTAGATCTCATCGTCATTTGTGCCCTTAGATCGACCAGCCTTCAGTCACCATGAGAACACCTGTGAATGCCTGAATGCCGGGCGTGTACGATGTTCAACCTGTTTAGGGTTTGAGTTGTTCCAGCATTGGTTCGGCTTCAAGGGTCTGGGTCCAGTAGTGTTTATCCTTTTCGGGTTTCCGGGCTCAGCTTCGTCTCTGCACGGGGTTCAGGGGATCGTTCCTCCCGAGGCATCACTTGGCAGATTGCGCCATGGACACGGGCACTGCACGAGCACCACATTACCGCCACTTGGGGCAGGATGAGTCCCAACGTTTCAGACACAAGCTTAACATTTTGCAACTTGCCAGTTCTGAAACAATCGGTTAGGTTTGTCTGGCGTTTCAGTGTAACATGTTCTGCGGTGCGATCGCTTTGGCTTGACATCGAACAACCGTGGCCAATTTTGCGGCAAGAAAGGATGATCGTCCAACAGCTAGGTCCTGGGAGAGAGCTCATAATAATGAAAGCCGTTCTTGCAGTTCCCCGAGCTCAGCCAAAGTTCAAGTTGCCTTGTGCTCTCGCACCTGTGGCAGAGGAGGCTGGAGAACTGTGAACTGTGGGACCACTACACACCGGGCAAGTCGCGCATTTGGCTGCTCGGCTCGAGGCGTCTCAGAGATGGGTATCGCGCTCGAGTCGTCGAGGGACTGCCACTGCCAACCGGGCAACGCTCGCAGATCGCTCTCAGGACGAAGCCGCTCTTGACACACAGATCCTCTCTGGTCTGCGGCTTGTGAGCTAATCGCTTTTGAGTCGGCGGAGGAGCCGGGAAGGCCCAGCCATTGGCCCTCGCTGTGGTTCGATGACGCAATCCACGCTAAGCGTGAGGAGCTCGAGATCCAGGAGGAGAGTATCTTTGGAGCTTCTTACCGCCCAGGCCCCAAACTACGCGCCGCCGTAGTTCGATAAAAAAGGCCGCTTCAAGCTCGCTTCGGGACCCCGCTCCGGACAGCCGACAGGCGTAACAGCAAATGACATCACGTTTCTGATGTTGAGAGAGGGGTTCCGAGCACTCACTGCGGTCATGTTCAAGACCCTTGTACGGCTTAACGGCTTTTCAAGCTGGGCATGCCAGCCTTAGCTGCTGTTCAGGTGTTGTTGGCGTGATTTTTCTTGCGCAGTTGTGCCGCATTAACCCTGTAGGAGACCTGGAAATGCTACATTTGCTCAAGGCGACGTGCTAGGGAGCATGGCATCAAGTCAGACTATGCAACTACTGATATGGTGCTCACGTGTGCTTCCCACGCGACTTTTGTAGGGAAACATAGGGAAACTAAATTGTAGGGGCCCTCTCCTTGACCTTTGTAGTCGGGAGGATCTCTACACAAAGAGCGTTTAGACTCCAGACGCCAAATGTATGTCAAGACGTACCCGAAATTTTAAAAAACAACTCCTTGGCACAGCAAAGGCTCCTGACGACTCGAACCCCTGGTGGGTGGCATTTCGTCTCCTGCGCGGCACATATGTTCTTGTCCACTGTCACTATCGGTTGTGTAACATATGCGGTTCCAAACAGCAGGGACGAGATGAAGCTTTGAGGGCACTTGGGGTTCTAAGCTCTGCTTCCAGTACACTTGAGGCTTAGTTGTTTCGATGGCGGTTTGAAGTTTGCTCTCATGACTTGGGAAACACCTGCAGACAATCACGATGGCAAGCCCTCGTAACGGCCGATGCAAAAAGGAAATAGCGCACGTGCGTGTGTTTGCAGTTGGTTGGGCTCACCACATAATGATAGATGCCCAGCTTAGTTAGAACCCTTCCTGCCACTATCCTTGGGTGAAGAATTTGATTCATCCTGACAACAGAAACTATCCAGACTGACGTCTCCAGGTGATGTGATGTCGACCATGTCCTTCGATGTCGAACCTGAGGCATGTGCAATGTTGTTGCCAAGCGGGGCATTGTCGCAGTTCGTGCAGTCAAGCGCATCATGCAAGCACCCGCACGAAATGTCTTACAGTCAGCGCAGATTCCCCATTCCTCTGACTTTGTGTGATTGTAGTGGTTGCGGCTGTCAGTTGATATCTTGCATGCAGCAGATGGAAGTATCACAACTTTTTGAACGATTTCTGAAGTCAGCGTTCATGCAGAATTATCAAGCAATGTGCGTAAATATGCACCACAGAGAAAACGGCAAGTCTTTGGTCTGTGCAGGTGTTTCCGGCCGCCACGGACTCACGCTTTCTGCGCGAGCTGGGGATTCCGGCACTGGGTTTTTCACCGATGAGGCCATGCAGAGTTGAGAGGACTTTCGGGCATTCTAGCGAACCCAAATGTCAACGTGGTCCTAATTTCAGAACGAATTTTGCAAACGAGCAACGCGCCAAGGAAATTCAATCCCAAACGGCGCAGGACTGTCTATTGGCATTCCCAAATGATTTGGACTTGGAAGCCACAACAAAACCCCTCCATTGGATGGTCTCGTGCTTGCTCGGAATCACTGTACAGGGCTGGAGCAGGGCTTGGCAGCGCGTGTTGCAGCTGCAGGCGCTGCCCGATCTTGTTACATGAGCATGACGAGTACATCCCGGTGGACGTCTTCATGTCAGGCAGTGTTGGCTCGTTTTGCTGCTGCTGTTTCTTCGCAGTTTCGGTAACGAGCGTCACCAAAACCTCCCCCAGATGCGCCACGTGTCAGTTCAGCTTGCTTCCTCAAACACCCCTACCCCCTTACAAGATGGCCACTCCACCATGAAGTTCCTTGGGCACCAGTGGCACCAGGCATAGACGTCTACGTCGGCCTGATCGAAGCCTTGGCATCGAAGGAGAAGCTGCAAGGAGAGGACGAGGTTGGGCGGCGAGGTTAAAACATGCTTTGGCCATGCGGTTAAGGCGGAGTTAAGGGGTTTACTACTGCTTTGATCTGTTAGAGGCTTCCGTTGCCAGGCTCACTTCACTGGACTTTGCACGCGACTTCTCGCACACGGCATGTCTGCAACAGCACGCGACAAGGAACGAAGCACGATTCAGAAACTGGACACGATTCAGGAAACCAGCATTCATGAAACTCGGTGATTCAGGTAGCCACGGTTCAGGAAGCTGGGCGATTCAGGAAGCTACCCGATTCAGGAAAGTACGGGGTGTCGGGGGGCGGGTGGGGGGCGGGGCTTCAGAAAACTTTGCGGTTCCCGAATTGCTGCTGACCCGCGACAAGCGTAGATATAGAAGCACCACGAACAGTGTGTGTGGTGGCAATCGTGGCTGATCGAGGCCCATGCAGCAATGTCCATTCTGATCGTCGTTCATTGTAAACGCTTGCGCGCGCCGCCTCGGCAGCCGGGCCGGCCCAGAGCATGCAGTATGTGGAAAGGGTGTGCGGACGGGGGTGGGGGGGGGGGGGGGGGGGGGGGGGGGTGGAGGGGGTGGTGGGGGTTAAGATGGACACTTAAAGGCTATGCTGCACGTGCGTGCCTTGTAAACAAATACTTTACAAAGGAAACACCCGCAGAATAGACGCAACGCACCCGCAGAATAGACGCAATGCACCCTTAGCATCAGCACACTGTGTCCTGGACAAGGGCGCGGAGGGCGCGGAGGGCGCGGAGCGCGCAGCGCCCGCAGCGCGCGGAGCGCGTGGAGGGCGCGGAAGGTGCCCCAACGGTTGAACTCCTTGTTTAGTGCGCGTGTCCCCCCCTCCCCTGCCCATCAACCGAATGTCACGCTCTCCCCGTCCTCCAAACTCGTCCGTCAGACATCCATTCATGGCCCAGAGAGGTTTGCGGGAAGAATCCAAGAAAAAAAGAGCACGCGCAGAATAGACGTTAAGTGTCCAAGGCACGGTTAAGATGGACACTTAAAGGCTGTGCTGCGTGGTGGGGGGGGGTGGGGGGGGTGGTAGGGGTGAGGGGGGTTGGGGGTGAGCTCTCTTTCGCAGGGGTTGGGTTAGGGGGAAGGAGACCTGATCCGGCTCGGCAGGAAGCCGAGGCGAATATTGTTCATAGTGTTCTCCGTGACAGGGTGCTAGCATTGGCAGGGGTTTCCCGCGTAGAGACCATGTAATTCGGAGGTGGTGTATTCTGACGATTACCCTTCATGGTTGGATTGATATTCCCAGGGAGCCTTGTTTTGTCATCCCGCTCCCCGCGCCCCCAGCCGCTACGCCCGTCAAGTGCCTGCTCAATCGTTTAATACACTGTCTGTCCAGATTCCGTTTGTGCTGGCTTGCAGATATGTCTGCCAACTTTGGTTTGCAGACTTTCATGCTTGTCGTGCTGCGCTCGTTTGCGGCTGTTTGTCGTTTGTTTCCCACCTGCGGTGTGGGGTTGTTACATTTTAAACTCAATTCTTCTCCTCGCCCGGAATTCTTCTCCTCGCCCGGAACTCTTCTCCTCGCCCGGTCTACTCCTCGCTCATCTTTGGAGTGCCCAACCCCAAACTGTCCTTGGAGTGCCCAACTCTTGAGTGTCTCTGGAGTGCCCAACCCCAAAGTCTCCATGGAGTGCCTAACCCCAGAGTGTCCCTGGAGTGCCCAACCCAGAGTGGAGTGCCCAGCCACAGAGTCTGCCTGGCGTGCCCAACCCGACTGCCCAGCCCCAGAGTCTCCCTGAGTGCCCAACCTCAGAGTCTCGTGCCCAACCCCAGAGTGTCCCCGGAGTGCCCAGCCCCAGAGTGTCCCTGGAGTGCCCAACGCCAGAGTATCTCTACCAAGAGAAGGTGGGAATGTTCGAAGCAAAACAATTTGGTACATGAACTTGATTGAACTTGTGTATTTATCCAGCGATGCTCTAAGACATTGTAGCACTTTCTGCATCAAAACTCACCACCGCAGCCGAATAATCAGAAGTGTGCAACGTCACCATGTGTCCCATAGCCAGGAGGTACGCACCAACGCGTCGCATGAAACAGAGCTGAAAACGCTCCTGCCCTATGCAGGTGCTCGCCAAGCGGCGACGGACTGCGTGAGTCCGTCCGGTCCATGGAGATTCTTGTACAGGGCAACGCGGCACGTAGCTTCGATTCAGAGGCTTCGAGCTGAGCAATAGCTGAGCATGCCAAGCAAGATGCCAAGGGAGACTCCGTTCTTGATTTATGCTTTTGACGGCTGGATCCTGCGGTCACTGCAGGGTGGTGTGCGGGTCCTTTCGGCCGTGACCTGGTTCTCCCACATCCCCGTGAGCCCCACAGAAGAGCACATGCAGAGCATCTGACGGGAACCCCACTTAGCCGGAGTTCAGCAAATTGTGCTGCTTCCGTGCTGAGTGCACTTGAAAGGGGCTCTCAGTTAGCGTCTCAATCGGTAAACGGGTTCAAGCAAACTAAAAGCTATTCTTGTTCCAAAGCTCGTGATGCACTGCAAGGTAGTTGGTGCAGCACAGACACGGTGAGCATCGATTTCGAAGACGCGGGAAAAGTGAGGCCTGATGAACAAATTGAACCATGCCAGGTCGGTAGCTCCATGACTGCTGATGGTTTACCGTTCGCTGGCTGTGCTGAGAAGCGCATGCGAGATGTGCTGGCTTGAGGTGCTTAGACATGCCAGAGCTGCGAACGGTAGTAGCTCGTGCAACTCGCAGGGTCCTGAAAGGACTCCCCGTCCTGCGACAACGCAGCACTTTGCAGCTCCAACCCCTCCTTGCTACGGCCAGCCAAGTGAAGTTCCCTGAAACCCCACCCTTTCGCTCTGGCTATGCGGGCGTTCACTGATGGAGCCGCCAGCGGGGCTCGCTTTGCTGACCCCACTGCGCCTGGCCGTGCTTCTTGGCAGCCTTGGCACTGACATGTCATTTGAGACGAGCCTTGACGTCTACTCCAATGGCTTAAGGCCGGGCATTGCTCGAGTTACGACCCGTTTTGACTGCACCAAAACCAAACTCTCAGGCAAGTCGGCTGGCGGGTGCTCACTGAAGTGAACGCAGCGGCTTTGCACGGAAATGTGTTGGTATTTGTGGGCTGCTGAAGTTTAGCGCGCGCGAGAGAGAGAGAGAGAGAAGGCGAAGCAGAGGAGGGGGCAGAGAGAGAGGGAGGACCACCGAAGTTGTTTCGTGTCATAATCTGGTTGAAGGAGCGGGGGTCCGTGTTCGTGTGTTGTTGGTTGTCGCTTTCCCACGGGGGTCGTCGTCTCATGCCGACTGGACACAAACTTGGGCGCGCCGTGCGCGCGAGGGGGTGCGACTGTGCCCCTCAAGCCCCGAAGAAGAAGAAGAAGGAGGAGGACCACCGAAGAACTAGCAGGCAGTTGTAAGGTGAGAGTGTTGACAACAACAGTAGCAACTCACAGGGGGAGATGGAACAAGGGCCACGAGTAGGATAGGTACCGAGGTCAGGAAGGAGGGAACACGGCCCCGTTTTTTTCCCTCTCAGCACACTGCGTGCGGACCATTTGAGAGAAGATGGGAGATGCCATATGCACGATGTGGTCAGCTATGATTATCACTGGTTGCATCCTGTGTTGGCTAGCTGTGAGGGACCGAAGGGTTAAGGGGGCATGGGCGGGGACATCGGAGAGGCTTCCCTTCGGGGTTCTTGAGGGTTGTGGGCGGGCTGGGGGCTGAGTGGTTGGAGCGTTCGGGAAGTTGGAGGTCGTGCTTGGCCGGAGGTTTGAGCTGGGATTAACCGTATTTCCACGGGACGTTGTCTAGTTGTGGTCTAGTTGCGTCTCCTCTCAGGGAAGAATCGAGCGCCCGGGGTCCTCACAGATCCAGGTAGCTGTAGAGGCAACGTTTCAGACTGCGACTGACCTGGTACAGCCGAGCGACAGCGCTCATTTGCACTTGTTTCAGCAACATTCTGCGCAGTGTCGTGTTGACGCGGTTTGGCTCGACCCCTTGGCCGAACGTGCACACGGGCCGCCACAAGTGGGGTAGCCACGCTACTAGGCCTGCAGGTTTGTTTGTCAGCTCACATCGCGTCTCAACACCGACTGGTGGCCGTAGACGCCATTGGACCCCGCTTAGAGTTGCGTGGTTGCGCGATTGTTTGGGGGGGTCTCCATTTTCCTTTTTGCCCAGGGAAAAGAAGACGACCCCCCAACGAAAGATGGAAAGAAAAATGTGCCAGCAACGAGCGTGCGGGCTGAAGTGTGTTTTACATGTGGTCTGCTATGTACACGGAGTACCCAGCCAGGACTTGCCCGAACATCGGGAGCGTGATGGAGAAAGGGTGACAGCGCGTAAGAACGCAACGATTTCGCAAAGAGCCCCGTGCAGACAAGGCCACCGGAGTACGTTCCAGGAAGAGGGAGTATCCATGGAGAAGAAGGAGAAGAAGGAGAAGCAGAAGAAGAGGAAGAGAAATGGAGAGGGCAAGCAAGGTAGCAACGCTTCAATTGTGTCACCGCTGGTCCTAAGCGGTTTGTAATCGATGTTATCTTGTTGTCTTGTCGTTTGGTTTCCATTTGTGAGTTTGATGAGATTCGCGCGTCTCTTCGTTCTTAAGTTCGCAGATGATTGGAAAGTTCAAGTTCGCTCCACAGACCGAGGTCTTCGTGACCGTCGTGTTCTTCCTTCACCGGGACACTTAGCTGCCTCTCTTAGTTCGCAACCCCCCTTACTCGGCAAAAGAAGTGAATTCTTTGGGCTTGTATCCAGCCAGCGACAGCATCTTGGTCTCGGACGTTGAGCAGGCATCCGGACGTAGATCTTTCCGGCCCAAATAAGGAGCATCCAAAGCCGAAGGCCACACAGAAAGACCAAAGGCCGTACTTGGTGCCTGCGCAGAAAAACAGAACCAAACCTGCAGGCCTTGCCATGTTAAGCCCAGAGTCCATGCCGCTATCGACAAGAACTCTGAGTCCGCCACTGCTCCCAGCTATTGTTCCAAAATGAATGCAGTGCATCTCCAGGAATGGGCATGTGCGACGGTGAGCCTGGTGTTGAATGCCACATCCTGGACACTTTGTGCGCTCGATGTGCTGCTGGCGCAGGCCAGGATTAGGATTGAAAGAGATCATCAGGCAAATCGCATCAAATCGCATTACGTCTCCCTAGGTCCCTCGCAAGGGTCAAATCATCTGGTTTATTGGGACGCCCTGGACTGCGTCCGTTGACATGCGTCGCATGCCCTAAAGCTGTCACATCCTGTCATTCGTGGAAGCCATGCCCCGAAGCCTCGGGGGTCGCCTTTGGACAAGCCCCCAAAATGGCCTGACCAAGTTCTGCTCCAAGGATCCCACGTCACCTTTGGAAGAGGCACAGAGGAGACTCCGTGGGGCTCAGGTGTGCTTCAACAACTGGGCAAGTGGAGTTACAGGTTTCAGTGTGTGAGTTTCGTGATTATCGCGGTGGAGTTTGGAGGCTTGGGCAAACCTTTCAGATTCATGCCGGCAAGTAAGGTGCCTGTCAAGGAACTAGCGCCACGAAGTTTTCAGCATGACTCCAACACTGCGACACATGAAAAGAAAGCATACTAACACCCTGCCACAGGTGTAAAGTTCCCCTCTCGTCAGTCTTTCCTTGGGCCAGGAGCCTGGCTCGAGGCTTAGCCACTCCGGCCTGGCGGGGCTTGTGGGACGCCCGCCGGAAACTTCAGACTCTTGAGTCGACCATGCCTGCCCATCACGAGACGAGAACGACAGAACGGCAGAAGTTTAGGGAGTAGCATTCAGCGGAGTTCAGGGCGCTTCAGAATGCAGGTTTTGGGAGTGTTGTCCGGGCGGGCTGGCGCCCTTGGCTTTATCAGCTGTGGCCAAGGATTACGAACAGCAGATCCAGGCGCGAGCTCATGGTTTTCTAAGCTGGGGCTGCATAGAGCAGAGTTGCGCCATGCCCTCTGTGAGGCACCTGGGCTGGGTTTGCTCGTCCCCTACGGCATGACCTTGATCCAGGCCCGGGTGCAGATATTGAGCTTCCGATTTAGCTAAAGTGGGAAGGGATTTCGGGTGGATCAGCAGTGCGAGGACCCGTGACTCAGAAGAAAGAGTCGGGATGTCGCTTCGCATGTACTGCAGAGTCCTGGAAAGCTGGAACATCCAAAAGCCCAATCGCACCAAAATGATGCCACAGTGAAGACCAATTGAGACGCCCACCGCGAATTTCTGGCTTTCGAAAAAGCGTCTCCAAGCCCCGACCCAAGCCACCTCAAGCCTGACGAAAAAACTGGCCAAGGACCTCGACGCAGCTGCAGCCATCAGCGGGCTTTTTGCAGCTCTTGCTGCAGCCACCTCCCTCGCGAGCGCGCGCGTCGGGGTCCAAAGCACGCTGAGTTGCACGCTGAGGGGGGCCATTTTGGGCTTGGGAAGTGCTGGCCCACGCTCAGGCTTCAGAGTTGGGTTCCGAAAAAGGCTGGGGTTCAGGCGACTTTACGCACTCACTGGCCGACAGCATCTTGCAAAGGAATTACAAGCCGTACTGACTCTCAGTAACGCTCAGTAACCCCGATGTAAATGTCGAAGATCGACTGTTGAAGTACCGTTCAAAAACCTAGCAGCGAGCTGACGTGAGCTTTCCTAGCGTTCAGAGATGTCAAAGACGTCAGGTCGATTTCAACTGCGACTGGCCTAACCAGCGAGGGCAGGCCATCCTCTTCATGTAACCGCTATTCCCCTGATCAGGACTTGTCGGGGCTGAGGGGTCATGGGTAGGGCAAGGCATGACACAGGTCCATATTGGCTCTTATTTCGGCTAGCTCTTCTGGAACATCGCTCAGACTGACACATGCTTAAGGCCTACACCCGAATGCCTTAAGCTTCATCCCTCAAAGTTCTCCAGCCGAAGGCCTCGGTCGTGTACACGCTTCAGCCATGTACGACCTACTGGCTGCCACTGGGCCTTGAGCTTTCAGAGCTGCTCATAGGACTCTTGCGTTCAATTGGGGGGTTCGCTCATCTCACAAATGGTGTCTCGGGAGAAAGCGCCCTGAGCTCGCAGCCGAAAAGATGAGCGCAAGGTTTTTGTCGGAGGTAGCAGCAGGATTTTGGTTCTTGCAGGATGCTGCTTTCTCGGGGCCAGGCTCATTCCATTGCACCCAAGATGTCTTAGTTTCTTCGCACATGAAGCAGCCCGTACTGTGGTTCATAAGGGCCCCAACAGATATGTCCCCACAAAGAGACTCTAAGAGCTTTGGACGGGCCAGAGCCCTGAAGCACAAGCACATCCTATAGCCATCTGCAGGTACACAAGCTACCTGATCGGATCAATGGCTGAGTTTACGGCTTTTGCGGTGGTCAGCTGTGTTGCTTGGCTACATCGCATATAGGGCTCACGAGACTTCAGTTATCCGAGGCTTGAGATCAATATCTCGGTCTTCTAGGTTAAGAGTTGTGGGCTCCGGCTGATGTTCGAGGTTTCGGGGTTTCGGTCGTGTGGAAGGACCAGAGTTCCCTTAGCGGCTGATCCGAGGGCCACAATGCTGACAAGTACCAAAAGAGGTGTAGGTGTGTGCGTGTGGCATCCACCGGCAAAGGTCCTTCACCCTCTCGTCGCCTGCTTGGGCTACGCACTCGCCATCGAGGCCCATGAAGTAGTGAGGCCCTACTTTTCACGCCCATGATGAGTGATGCTTGGGTTGCTTGGTGGAGGGCCTGAGGTGTTTTGGTCATTTCCAGGCTTCCGCTGGATTTGAAGGGTCAGGGTCCGGAAACTGATTTCGAGAGCCAGATCTAAAGAATTTCTCAGCACGGTCAGCATCCAAGTTCTGTTCCTTCGGGTCCCTAGCTGGTGTATCAGAGATCGCATCAGCGTATCAGAGTATCAGAGAGCGGTCTTCGCAAAAGGCATCAGAACTCACTGGGTGGCCGAACGGCCCTTAGTAACCTCTTGGCACAAATTGAATTCAGTACCGCAGTCCAGCACTTGCAGTTCCGCTCAACGTTCTGAAGTTGGGAGTATTTCCCAAGAATAGGCCCAGAGACGCATCAATACAGACACAAGGACCCCACAAAAAAGAGGGAACCAAAAATGTAAGGAAGGCCCCAAGTGCTGAAGCTGTGGCATCCCGCAAGCTTATCGCAGCAAATAAAAATTAAGCCAACATCGCGCCAGTAGGAGCCCTCTAGGTATGCCGCACAGCGCGTATGTTTCTATACGGGATGGTTGTTGGACGTTGCTGGGGTTCTGCCGCAAAGCTTGCTGCTTGGGTGTACCGCAGAGTTTTTCCTTGTTCGCAAAACACCCTTGCCATTTTCCATGGTTCTGCTGTCGGGCTGAGGTCAATACACGTTGTAGCGCGAATGGCTTCTTCATGGAGTCGCTGCTTGCACCCCATGTGTGGATGCCTGGGAGAAGCTCCGCGTGGGATGGGATGAATTGCGGTTGGCTCTTGAGTTGGTGAAGGGGTTGAGGTCGCGTCTTTGAGTCTTATGTATTTGAAGCTTAGTCCAGAGAAACCGACCCCCAAAGTGGACCCTAATTAGAGAACTGTAAAGAGGCATATCAGTCTCGAGGGTCCCATGCGTGATGTATGGGGCATGGTTGTTCTCAGTTGGGTTTTCAGGTTCCCGGCTGGACATTGTTTTGCCAAGAAGCGATGAGCGTTCCATCCTTGCGGGTACTCAAGCTCCGGACTGTGTGGTTAAACTTGTTGGTGCCATTGCTGATGCTGATGCCATTGTTTCGGGGTGCCACTCGTCATCATCTTTGTAGTCATGATTGTCGTTGCTTGGGTTCCTACGGCTGCTGCAGGCAGTGATGTTACCACTTGTTCTATTGTGTTATTGACCTATTGACCTTGCTGCTGCCGTTGAGGTTGTCTGATGCTTCTGATCCTGATGCCATTCACTCTTTGTCGGTCCTCGGACTTCAAACCCATCCCAAAGTTCCAGCAGGGCTGTCTGGTCAGGTCATGTTCTTCGGCCTACAAACGCGAGTTTTGGGGACGCCTCTTGGCAGAAACTCATCAGATAGAGGCCAAGTACTGCTTCAAGCGGGAAGTTCTAGAGCTGCAGTGAACCGTCCCGACAAAGGCCTGTAACTTACCGCCACTCGAGAGGGCGAAACAGCGAAGATGGTTTACGCACGTCACAGGCAGATCGCAGGAGCGCCGACAACATGGCTTCCAGTAGACGGCGCCTCTTCAAAATAATCTCAGTTGCAGCTCACTCAGAACATTCCACGGACTTAAACGATCGACTAAAGATCACACCATCGCCATATGGCCTGATCTCATCTCGTAATCTCGTGAGGTTGTCCAAGGGTAAACGCATGGGTTTATGCCGGAAGCCACTGACGTTTGTTTTGCTCGCCCCGTGAACCAAGGCCAGCTCGACGCGATCTCGCCGGTCCTGGGTGGCCCAGAAAATTCACTGCTCACGAGACTTCACGAGACTCTACTTTTGGGAGGCGTAAGGATGCAGGATGCAGGGCGCTGCGCAGCTCTGCATTGAACGGGGGGCACCTGACACACGCGAAGGTGGCCTGCAGCCCTTTGCATGCTGCTTCGCCTCGCCACTTCGCAAAAACCCAGTTGCAACAGGACGTTGAAGTTCCCTGCTTACTGAGCTATTCTTCGGGATGCTTGGAGTGCTGGCAAGGCGTGCAGCTGTCTTGTGAGGGTCTCAAGTGTGATGCTTTCTGTTGCGAACTTGCAACCCCCCATGGATGGGATCACACGTGCTCCAGAATCGATTCTGGTGGCCCTAGGCGTTGCCGCTTGCTTGCTGCTTCGTGCCCCTGGCACATGACCAAGAGCCCTGGCCGGGCAACCCAGTGAACCACGAGCGGTGCTGTAAGACAGTGTAGGTACTTGGCTTGGGGCAGGCACCGAGTTTCAACCAAACCTATGGGAGGATCCATGCGTCCTTCGGCCAAGCTATGTAACAGGAGTGAATAATCACTTCGAGGGCAGAATGAAGTTCAGGCTTGAAAAGTTGATCGTCGCACAAGCGTACCCGAACTCCCGTGCTGACAATTCCCCAAACTGATCACATCCGTGCTGACAATTCCCCAAACTGATCACATCCGATCCTACACGGTGGAAAAACCAGGCTCTTGTTGTTGTAAACAATTTTTCGGGACGAGCACGTCATAAGCAAAAGAGACACGGTCTGCACACACCAGCGGTATTTGGGATGGCTGTGAGAAGGCACCGAGGCAACGTGCCATTAAGTCGGCCACTGCCAGTGCAACCCAAACCTTGGATCGCTTGAATGCCAGAGAGTACTCTCCACCAAGGCAGCGCCTAGGACGACCAATCGGGCGTGCGGTACTCGAAGAGTTTGAAAAGCCAACGGCTGCCGCTGTTGCAGCTGCCAAGGCTGTGCGTTTTGTGGGAACTTCCTGGTTTCAGCTTGGCCTTTGAATACAAGGTTTATGCGAGTGGCATTGGCCATCAATGCCAAGTGGACATGTTTGGAATTGCATTTTCAGAGGGGTGGCTCTCTTGATCTCCATCCAGCTTTGGGTTGCAAATTTCTGGCGTTCAAGTACTGCCTTGTGTCTTCCCTAAATCCTAAACCGTGAAGTCAGCCAAAGTGTGTCTCCAGGGTTGCTTCTCATGGTTGAGAGTTGCGGTGAACAATGCGCTACCTCAGGTCTCCTTCTTTCTCCTGTAGAGGATAGCCAGGCAGAATTCGCCACGCTCTTCTTTCTCTTCCTTTCCGGCTTCGGCTGTCATCCTGACCAGGGTAGCTTGGCTCGCCGAAGTAAATGATGCTGAAACGATGTCAAGAGAACTCTGTAAAAAGAACTGCCCGCCTCTTAAAAGCCCAATGCTGTGGCAGGCATGCGTCATCCACCGTGCCTGCAGTCGCCCTGCTCAGGGGATCATTTTCGACAAAGTCTGCTCGTAGTGAAGCCACGAAGCAAGTTTATCGACTTCTGCCGCCAAAGCGTTGGCTGCCACAAGCGGGATGACATCCTCTGAGGTTCAGGAAAGTTCTCAACAAAGAGGCCGTTCCCAAGATCCTCAAAACTTCAAATCTGCTTAGAATCCCTTCTTCAATCTGGCTAAAGCTGCTAAAGCTGCTAAAGCTGCTAAAGCTAGACTCAAGCGACATGTCACCCAGTTTTGACGGTGAGGTGCACCTGGTCTGAGACCCGCGGAGTGGTTGCGAGCTGCGCTGTTCGGCACTTCGGACTGAAAAAGGTTCTGGGGGGTCAGAGATGACTTCTCTCAATGTGGGTGTTCCTCTGTTCCTCACATCATTGGCAACAGCAAAGCTCTCAAGCTCAAGGCATCTGCAACGCATTGCTCCAAGCAGACACAAAGCAGATGCGGAGGCAGATGCAAGCTCCAACCCCCCCCCGATCTTCAGCCACCACTGGCCATAGTCCATATGTGTTCTTCTGAGACGCAGGGAAAGTTCAGCCGAGCGGCAACCATCGTCGATTTCAGAATGGCAGGAGATGGAGTTCGGGGCAACAAGAATCCTCTGAAGCGCCCCCCAAGACCGCTGAGACCTCTGAGACTTCTGAGACTTCTCTCTGAGACCTCTCTGTGCCTGCGGGCCTTGTTACATTGCATTGGGAACACCGTCGAGCCTTGCACCTTCAGCTCCATGGATGTATCCAAACCTCATACCAGCTCGAATGGCTAAAGTAAGGTAGTTGAGCAGGTGAAGAAAGTGCGACGAGCTTGAAGGTTCTCGTGTGTAGAGTACTCCTTGAGGCTGCCTGACTTGTGGTTGGGACTTGCACGAAATGGCAGAACTTGCACAAACTTGCAGAAACATCTAGGAAACCTTTGCTTTACTCAAATTACTCAAGCCGACTGGCAGTTGCACACGACATTTCGTGAAGACCTGGACATCATCTTGAGCTGCACGAACGCCATCGTTGTTGATGCTCGCAGCCTTACATGGCTCAAACCATCTTTGGAAGCCTGTGGAGTTCCGCCTTCACTTCATCGTTGCTTCTAGCATGCAAATGTCTCTTCTGCCTGTTGCTCTCAATTCTAGTCGTCGTAGCCCGCACAAGGTTTGAATCACATTGTGTTTGGTTGCTTCCGGTGGAAGTGCTTGGCCCCCTTTGCCAAGGTCTGCTATCATCAATGTCATCTTGGGCAAAGTCAGCGGTTTTCCTGCACAGCCTTTGTCTCGCTTCAGGATTGCGGGCAGAAGTCTTCTACAACACCAGCCTGCCAATGCCACAGTGTGGTGACTGGTACAACAGCTTGCCGAGCACTTTCCTTGGCTTTGGTAGCAGGAAGCGCCAGGAGTACCTGAATGCAAATCCCGATCCTTGTGCGGCTGGCGGTCTGGAATGTTGTAAAGGCAAGTGCAGCATGAAAGGTTGCAAGACGGATGTCAGCTGTTCACAATGCAAGAGTCTCCTGAGTGATGTGCCAGCCAATTTGGCCAAAGGTTTTTGTGAGGATTCCAAGAGTTGCAACAAAGTCTGGCATGGGTGCAAATTCTTTGCAGGCTCTTGTGAAAGTGCACGGCAGCCATGCTGGAAGTGCACCTCGTTCTACCGCACTGAGAGTCCGGAAGATGCCCAAGCAGCCTGTGAGGATAGAACGCTTTGCTACTATCCTGGCAATGCCCATACCCACTCTGACGGCTATTGCAAGTGGACCGCGGAGTTTCGCAAGTGCGACGTGGATGAAGGTTCTCGCGTGTATAGAGTTCCTTGAAGGCATGACACAGATGCCGCACAGATTGAGCCTGCTGCCAAGAAAAAAAGGGGACGAGTCCGCTGTTTGCGTGCAGTAATGTCGGGTCAGATACCTGGTTTGCCAACCAGTACAAACAAACGTCTGCATAACAGCGACTGCTATCATCCAGGGTTTCATGCGGGGTTTCGGCTTGGGTGATTTCGACCCTGTCTGTGAGACAGCTATCCCACACAGACCAAAGCCAAGCCCTCAGATCAGGTGCTGTGGTCCTGCTGGCACCTCTGCACCTGGGAATCACCATCTGCCGGCTCGCTGCGAATGTGCACTTTAGGGCGACCAGGCTCAACCTCGGGCATGTTGACCGTGTTGCGGGGAGCATGCCGCAGCCTTGTTGTTCCTTTCGTGCCTTTAGACATCAAAAAAGCCACTCTTGGAGGCACGTAGGTTGCGCAGGGCATGCCACCTTTGTACGTGCTCACGAGAGTTGCTGGAGCAGCATTGTAGCGTTGTAAGGTTGCAACGTACTTTTGCTTCAGGGGACCCGTCGAAAGTTTCTCTCTTTGGCGCTCGTCATCACAACCGATCATGACCCAGCGGCACCTCCGCGAAAATGATCGAACAAACTCCAAGAGAATGGCATCTGCCGTGTTAGTGTCAGTGTGGGGCATGCCTCATGGACCTGTCGAGCATCCTTCGCAGCCTTGGGTCGTCTGAGAACAGACCCAAGCCAAGTCCAGCCCTAAAACCCGGTCCCTCCAGCCCCGAAGCCTGCGTTGCGCCCAGGACGGCGCAGTGGACAAGGATCTCTGCACAGAGATCGAGAACAAGCGCAAGGACTTGAAACCCGAAGCTCTAAACCCTAGACACATTGGACCCCTCAAGCCTTAAGCTTTGTGGATTCAAAGTTTGGTGGAATTGAGAGTTCTAAGAATTTAAGTGAGCTGAGAAGTCATCAGGCCAAAGTCAGAAGTCACGTCAGTCAGTTGTCTTGCCAGCTCTGCAGCCTGTACGGCCGGATTCTTGCTGGCCAGGAGATTGAAGAGTTTCTGGCAGAGCGGCAGCAACACCCCAATGAGTACGAGCTCTTGGCAGTGGAGGACTTGGTCTGATGGGTTTGAGTTTGGTAGAGTGGCTTCATTCTCAGGGCATAAAATGGGCAGAATATTGGTGCCAGATCCAAGTCCCGTGGGCAATGAAGGGGCAGCGTTGAAGTGTGGAAGGGAGCAGAGCACAGGGAAGTTGACGGCAATTGAAAGGAAGGGGGAAAGGGACTTCCTGCTCGCGTCTGGCCAACGCGTGATCTCACCTCGTCATTTCCAGAAGTCTTGTGCACTGCGTCTGCAACAATTAACCATAGCATACGGGCCCGTGCTCCCAAGATTTGGAGGATCCCGCGTCGGAGCTCGAGGACCGGACAGGGACTGAGCAGAATACTTGATCAGTGCTTCCGGACCCTCTCTTTTCCTTTAAAGGCAAGGAACCTGCACTCGTTGATTATCCTGCAGCACAGCCTGTGGAGACTCTCAGAAGCTTTTGTGTTGTCAGACCCTTCCAAAGATGGCAAAGTGGTCCGTTCTGATCCACCTCTGTGGGGTATTGTGCGTACGCATGCATATAGCCATGGCAGATGCTATCAAAACATTGCCATTGCCGAGCCGAACAGCAGCACACTGTAAGTTTGCAACGCATATCTTAGACACCTCACCAGAACGATAGCACCGCGTGCGTTCGGAAAAGCACACTGCACCAAAGACAAGGCTTGTGGACGTCAGTTGCTGCTGAAAGTAGCGAAGCTGCCTCTGGAAGGCACATTTTGCGGACAAAGCTCTGCTGGTTGACCCATGCACTGCAAGCACTACAGCTACAGGCCCGAAAAGCCCTGAAGTCTCCGGAATTGCTGTCATACAGATCAGGGACGGGGTTAGAGGCCACCTGTTCCTGAGTCAGATGCAACTAGCGTCAGGCCTAACATGAGCGCAGGCAAGCAGAACATGGGTCCAGAGTCTCCACTTCCGAAAGGAACAAAGGAACGAGAAAAGGCGCGCCATTGGGACCATCGGGATCGTGGTCTTGCGGGGAACGTATCGTGGAACCGAGATCCAGGCCCTGTGGGCTTAGAAGAAGTAGTTAGTCAAGTGGAAACTGACACTCAGCAGAAGCGCAGCTGCAAAAAGTTTGAAAAGTGCTGTTTTGTGGATACTTTCAAAAGGCCGAGAGAATGTTTACTCTGCGCCAAGGTTCTGAGACAAAACCTCATTCGAGGTAAGAGCGCCCCCCCCCCCCCCAAGGATTAGTTTGGATCGAGTCCTACTCCCAGTTTTGCAAACTCGGTTCTCATGCAGGATTCCCAGAACACTCTTTCGCAGATACCGCGACTTCCCGGCGACTTCCGGGCACGCGAGCGCTTTGAACCGTGAAGGGACCTCGAAGGGGGAAGCCCAAACCGGCTTGAAACCAAGCTCAGTGGCCTCGCACCATGCGCTCTGCCGTTTTGCTGCAGCTTTGGCACAGACAAAAAACCATGGGTTGGGCTGACGAGAGTCTAGGGCTCAGTTCTCGGAGCACGGGGCGGTTTTTCGGGCATTCGGGAGGAGTTGGGGGGGTTGGGCGGGGGCTGCGTGGTTTCTGTGGATATAGTGAATATAGTGCCATGAGCCGTGAGACTTCTGCTGCGGTCGACAACCTCCTGACCGTCGCAGGTGGCAAGCTGCTTGGATCCCAAAGTTAAAGAGAAACAGTACAAAGGATCCACAGCAAACGGAAGGTAACCACTGTAGCTTGGACAGAGATTCGCTTCAAGTTGAAAAGCCGGTGCATGGAGGCATAAAGACACTATAACATGACTCAAGGCAGGATGATTATAGGCCAGGGGCTTGCGTCCAAGCTGCTGAGCTGAAGCTAAGGGTGCCCTCACCAATAGATCTACAGAATTCTTACGATTGTCACGAAAGCTAGCTCCTTGGAGCTTGTGGGAGTTTTTGTTCACAACCTTCTCGTCTTGGGTTAAACATGACTTGGGGGGACCTTCGGCCTGAAATGTCAGGAATTCAAGGTCACACGGGCGCCTCCTTTTGCCTGAGTGGTCACACGGTGTCCCTGACAAAGGGGGGAGGGGGGCTGGCCCTCCCTGACCTTAACCCCACCCCACGCTGCCTGCATAAAATCGGCCTCGAGGTAGTGACCTTCTCCCAAAAAGAGAGAGAGAGACAGAGACAGAGAGACAGAGACAGAGAGACAGACAGAGGGCCCGGTATTCTGAAATAGCCTGCGGCTTGCCACGCATTTCCAAGTACTAACAGCATCAGTTGCGAGTTTGAACCTCTCAGGCTGGAACGCTTGTGTGAGGAGGTGTCTCGTCAGGCACGGCTCGAAAACTCCAGAGTCAGGAAGTCTGTATTAGGCAGTGGGAGTGAGGGATAGATGTTTTTCTAAAACACAAAAAGTTTGTGTGAAGGTGCAAGAGGAGCTCTCCAAAGCCTCCGCCCAGCTCGTGTCGCAGGCACAGAGGGGGTGAACTGCCTGGGGGGGATGGGGGCGGGGGGGTCAGGGGAGGAACAACGGGGTAGGGTGAGTCTGTTTTGGCATTTCTGTTTCGGCTCCCATGTCATGCTTGGGTGGACATATTGTCTGCCAGCCAGGTCGAGGGCAAACTGGCGGCCGCGGTACAAACTCCAAGAAAGCAGGCTGTGGACGAGCGGTGACGATGCGGTCCAACTAATTCAGCAACAAAAGCCCCACACAATGCATAGGCAGAGAGATGTACACAGTAGGGAGTTACTTCTTCCTGCTGTGTCGGTCGCGATGGCGCAGAACAAAGTCCATTTAGCAGGGGTGTACAAACTGTTCATTAAATTAACATTTGAATGGTATACGTATGGTTAAACGACAGGAAGAGGGCCTAGTGTAAAGGTATACCCATGTGCCGTACAAACCAGCCATATTAGCACATGCCCGCCCGCTCGCGAACACGTAAAATCATTGCCGAAAGGCCATTCAGTCGCTGGTCGCTTGGGCAAACACCGACGACAGCCAGAGCACGCCGAAGACTGGGTGACCTGGACCAGCAGTGAAAAGCTGAAGCTTAAGGTCTTTGAGCGTCTTTGAGCCTCGTTCGTGACTCACATTGAGTGTAGATTGTGTGCGTGTTGTGTGAGTGTTGGTGCTCTACACGAGCGATGCAACAAAGGTACGTTCCCCATGCCTGGACAGAGAGACACATGCAGACGCACCAATCTTCCAAGTTGCTGGAGGCGAGCCCAGCATCTACCCCCTCCACACATGAAAGAGTTAGCGGATACCATTTCCGAGGTAGCCTAGGCTTGCCGTGCGTTATGTTTCACCTCACTAGAGCTCTAGGCTCAAGGGTGGCAATGAGAGTCGCCCTAGTTTTCATAGGAGTCCTGGTTCGTCCGTTAGGGGGGCTATGGCCTTTCACTCGGAGCGAGGACAACCACACTTGCGACAAAGCAGGAACCTGTAATGCTTCAGAGGCCTTTGGGCAGAAAGAGCAAGAAACCCGTGGCTCAGCTTCTAGCCCGGGGACAACCGCCTGGTGGTTCGAATGGACCTGGGAGACAGGAGCGCCCTTCCCAACCAAAAAGAGCCCCATGGGGGAGAAGTGGTACATCGAACTCCTGTTGGGTTTCATTTGGCGAGTATGGGAAGGAGGGATGACGTGGTGTGGCACCTTGTGCGCGTCCATCGGCTTGGCAGCGCGCTGGACCTACTGGTTGGCAACGTTCACCGTAATCTTGGGCATGGTCCAGCTGACTTACTGGACTTACGCTTGGGTAGTGCGCCCCATGATGGTTTTAGCCGCCGCCCTCTGCCAGTATGTGCTGGGCAGGGGATCCTGGAGAGCCGTGCTAAGGGGGAATGGGGAAGCCCCCTTTGAGGTGAGGTGGGCAGGACCCCAAGGTCAGAGACCCTGGTCCGTACAATATGTTCAGGATAGCGTCAGAGGACGCGGAGAACAGCAGCTTCCGTACGATCTGCTAGTATCTGATGGCGTCGCCGTTGCCAGATTAAGGCACGGCGCTATCCGTGGCAGGACAAATCGCCATGGATTCCTTTGTCAATGCGACACCGTGCACAGCGCATCCCATCGGTATTGGAGACACGCTCTAGAACGAGCCAGATGCGCTGTACATTTATGCTCGGCTGACCCGTGTACGGCGCCCGAAGCCGCGGAAATTCATGTCATGTCCAGCGCAGTCTCACCCCAAAGTGCGGAGGTGGACCTGAGCGAACTCGCAGGCAGAGGGCCCATTTCCCGGACATTGAACGCCACATGGTTTATGATGTATCGTACAGGGGCAAACGTCGCTCGCTCTGGGTGGACGTGCGTCAGATGCTTGATTGCATGCTGTAGCTGTTCCAGATCTCCCGATCAGAGGCGCGGACCGCGCCCGGATGGGGATCAGGACCGAACTCCCAGACATGACCTTTCCGAGACCGAGTCAGAGATCGAAGACAATCTCTGTCAGGCCGACGTTTTGGGATGGAAAGAAGGGACGCAGCACAAGAAGCTTTGTCGAGACGGATGTAAAGAAGCCTCCGTCTCATGGGTAAAGGTGTTGCCCGATGACTGCGCCCAAAGCAGTCAAGGGGAGCTGTCCTGGGACAACGGCCTGGCTAGTTGTCAGCTCTGCGCAAGGCACCAAGAGAG